AGCATCCTGTGGTTCTTCCACGGTCGCGGTGTGTTTGGCCACGCCCATGTGACCGACGCCGCCCTGGTCCAGGCCCAGGCTCTCTACAAGGGCCGCATGAACGTGGTCAAAATGTTGATCCTGGTGGCCCTGCTCTTTGCTCTCTCCTGGCTGCCGTACTTCGCTCTCCTACTGCTGGAGGTCAGTTCAGAACGGTTTGTTTGTTCGTTTGTGAGTGAAAAGAAGTAAGAGCTATCTAGTTCACCCCCCCCCCAATAAAAAAGCACATTGCCAATCTGGTGGCTCTGCCCTTTGCTCTCTCCTGGCTGCCGTACTTCGCTCAGGTGGCCGAAGGTGTTTGTTTGTTTTTCATTATTTTTTTGTTGCTGTTCGTTTGTTTGCTTTTTTTTAAACAGAGAAGAAGTTAGAGCTTTCTTCTAAATAGATATTTCGTCAACCAATTGTACAGAGGCAATACCAGATAACGCGTATTTTCTGGAAGTTTCTGCGCCACAGCACACTCTATGAGATTATTGAGCCTAAGTTTTTTCATTTGAAAAAACACCCCCCCCCCCAAAAAAAAAAAAGCACGATCATTGGGCGGGGAAATCGGATTTAAAGTAGGTTGCAGTTTTTGATAAGTATACTCGGTTTTATAAAAAAAAAAATCTTTTTAAATGAAAAAACAAAACAAAAAGCGTGCTGACTCTACTCACCCTGCTCTTTCCTCTCTCATGGAGGCTTTTGTTAGTGCCCGTGTCCACTGTGACGGACTCCAACCGACCCGATTCCGTCCGTCTCTCGGAAAGTCGGTAGTTGAAATAGAGCACCGTTTGTTTATTAATACGGGGTGCCCACTACAGCTGGATCGGGCCGATCGCCCGACTCGATCGCCTGAAACTGAAAACAAACACGTTTGTTTGTGAGGCGACCGAGTCGGGCGATCCCATCTGTAGTGGGCACCCAGTATAAGAAATAAGGGAAAAGTCGTTTGGCTGTGTCAACAGACACGACACGACACATGCCGACAAAAGACGTGTCGGCTGGAAAGCTGCTGGCTCAATTTTAGCCGGGCCGGGTTGTGATTCGTGAGCAATCGGCCCCGCAGGAGCTATAAATAAATTCTAATTTTGACTTCGGATTAAAATTCTTATGTCGTATCCGGAGAGTTATTTTACGCGAAGTTTTTCTCACTTCACTCACGTTGCTCTCTTGAAGTTCATTTTATATTTTTAGATTTTCTTCCTACGAAAAGGAGCTTAGAAGTTCTAAATAATTTCTTTTTTTTTCTCTTGGAAAGCTCTAACGTATTTTCTGTTTTGAAAAAAAAATGGGATTAATAATTCTGAATAGCTAGCCGCTAAACTATATCTTTTCTCAAGAGATCTAACTTCTCTTCAGCTTAAAAAGAAAAACAATGAACAGACAAACGACCCCCTCCCCCTCCCCTAAAAAAAAACAAAGAAAAAATAATTTAGGTCTAAAAACGCAGGGCTGACATTTAAAGGAATCAACATTAAAAACAAATAAAAGACTTATACCAAAGGTCACTGCCAGTATTTACCGTTTGGAATAATCTCATCAAGTATTTGATTAGATAAAACGAGATACTCAAACAAAAAAAAGAGTCGACATAAAGCCGGAACAGAAGAGAGTGACTGTAAAAATGCCCCCTTCCCCCAACTCCCCCCCCACAAAAAAAAAACAAAGCAAAAAAAAACAAACACTCCTCAATTGCCCCCCCTCCCCAATAACAGTAACAACAAACATACAAAAAACACAACGCTCCCCACAAAAAAAACAAAACAAAGTAAAAGCAAAACAATACACCCGCCCCCCCAAAAAACACAAAAACAAAACAAAAACAACCAACAACAACAAAAACAACAAACAAACAAACAACCAACAACAAACCCAAACAAACACACCAAAAGAAAACCAAACGCGAACAAACAACAGCTCCCTCCCCCTCCCCCTCCTTCCGTAAACCCTCATGTCGCCGACACAGCTCCATATACTGCTGGAATATAATCCTCAATTAGGGTGTTAACTCATTGGATGGAGGAATGCCTATTTCTTCCCATCTTTTTTCATCCAGTATTCTTTAAAAAAAAAAATCTTCAACATCAAACAAAGCTTCGTTCAGGCCCCTCTTCTTCACTCCTTCACCCCCTCCCCTCCCTCCCCCACCCCTCGTTTTTCCCCCTTCTGCCAATAAAGACTAAAAAGCAAGATTGATCAAACTGATCCAAAGAACATACTAAGCACACAATGACAAACTAAATTGTAATTTCATCAGCATTTTGATACTTACTTTTACTTTTTTCTTCCGCTTGTACCGGTGGGTGTCGTGGGGAGACACAGGCGTCTGTCTGCAGCAAGGCGATTGGCCTGTAGGAGGGACATCCCGTGAGCTCTGAGGGTGTCTGCCACAGATTCACTCCATCGTCGCCTTGGTCTTCCTCTGGCTCTCCATCCATAATATTTAGTGTTGTATGCTCTCAGAGCTGGATTGTTTGAGGGCATCCTCAATTTTGATACGCGTATTTCGATACGCAGATAGAAAAAAAAGACAAATTGGAAAGAAACTAAAGGCTCATAAAAATCCCAACTGAAAGATCTTGGGATTAGACCTACCATAGAAAATTGCATCTCCACTCCACTCGTAACAGTAACAGAAGATGAACAAGTAAAAGTAAGTAAAGTACTAAAGGACTAAATCCTCCTTGCACCCGATTTCCCTTGATCTAAATTTCCTTTACCGTGCATATCCGGGGGCCAATCCATTAAAAAATTAAATAAATAAACTGACTCTACGTTTTACTTCTGTCCGCTGCTTCTACCCTTTTGGGTGTCGCGGGAAGAAGGAGACGTCTCTCTGCCACCAGCCGGAGAGCTTGGGTCAGGGGGATGCCGTGAGTTGTTAGTGCTTCCCTGACTCCATCTATCCAAGTCTTTCTCGGTCGCCCTCTAGCCTTGTTGCCATCAATTCTTTTTTAAAAATGTTGGCACGCTGTGCTGGATGGTGAGTTGGTAATGAACAAATAGAGTAAACGCCGAGAAAAGTATAGTATTATTTTTTTACAATCCACATTACGAGCATCAAGATGGTAATGATTACTTTCATCATAAAAATCCTAGTTCACTCCTACATTCCATTTTCATTTTATGCTTTTTAATGCCCTGTGTGAACTGGTGAAGAGGAAAAAATGAGCAACACACACACACACACACACACACAGAGAGAGAGAGAGAGAGAGAGAGAGAGAGAGAGAGAGAGAGAGAGAGAGACAGACAGACAGATAGACAGACAGACAGACAAATTGCTATATCAGTTGACGAGGTACGTTGTGAGTGCATCTAGTGCTGTAAAGGTTTGTGAAAGCTCACAGTTTATTTCTCAGAGTATAGAACCGATATATAAGTCTGAATATAAATTTATTTCGTCGAAATCCAAGGCATTGGCAGCGGTAAAACGTTCTGAGGCCAGATCTTATGCATAATTACAAAGCCGTGGTTACATTATTCTGAGGCGACCAGCCTAAGAGTAGTTTGAGGTTTAACTGAAAATCCATTAAAAGTCAGACTAAATTAGCCTGATCCATGATAATATTCCCCTTACATCAAGTAACTTTAAAGGGATTTTTTAATGACTTTCGAGGGAAGCCTAACAGTATTTATGTAGGATATGAGTAGTTCTCTGAGGGTTTTCTATCTCGCACAATTTTTTTCTTTTCTCTCCCCCTCTCTTTTTCTTGTTCTCTCCATCTCTCTCTTTCTCTCTTTCTTTCTCCCCCCTCTCTCTTGCTATCTCTCTCTCTCTCTCTCTCTCTCTCTCTCTCTCTCTCTCTCTCTCTCCGTCTCTTTCTATCCTCTGTTTCAACCCCCTCTCTGCCCCAGCTCCCCCTCTATTTTCTCTCTCTTTCTCTCTCCCTGTGTCTGTGTGTGTGGGGGTCTGTCTGTCTGTCTGTCTGTCTGTCTGTCTGTCTGTCTGTCTCGTTCTCTCTCTCTCTCTCTCTCTCTCTCTCTCTCTCTCTCTCTCTCTCTCTCTCTCTCTCTCTGCTAAAATAGAAACCGTACATTTTACACACATTAAGTTTTGTTCTATTTCCTCAAGACGTAGACACTGAACAAAGATCGTACATAGCAAGATAATTCACTCAGTCAAAAAATGTCCGCGGAAGTCCGCGCATTGGTTCAGATGGCGCTGCAGACTTTGAAGCTCTCTTTCCTTTCTCCTTAAGAAAAATAGGAATAAAACAGTTTGTTAGTTTCACTTTTATTGTTTTTCTCACAAATAGGTTAACTCTGATCTTTTATTCAAAGAGGTGCCACCAAATTTTGAAGACACTTTTTTGAATTGGCTCAAAAAGAGGATTGAACTATCTTGTTATACACGATCTTTGCGGTAAGTCCAATTTACCAGTCACTACAGTGTGAGGAGGGAAACATTTTGCAAACTACAAGTACTATGTCAAAAAAAGAAAGATAAGATAATATATTTTCCTTTCTAACCATAATAAAATTGGTCCCAGCAATTTCACATTCAAAAATACATCAGATTGTCCCCTAGATAAACAGAGAGCTCGACATTATCTGTCAGGCGGACGAATAAGATATTTCTGTTCTGTTTGTTTGTGAAGATCGTCATTGTCGTCATTGAAATGTATAATATGTGAGGCAGCGTGGTGGAATCAGGCTCTCGTCATTTGTTGGGCATGTAAAGTTATTGATAACTTCTTAAAGCTTGTTTACTTGTCTTTATTGGGATGCAAAAAAATATCCATTTATCTTGAATACAAGTCGAGATATTTGCGAATAAAGGAGGTGGGGGTGACCTGTTTTCAGTGGTAAAATTAGTGAGAAAATGGCCGCCAAAGATTAGTTTTTTCCTTAGCTTAAGAGTCCGTGGTAACTGAAGATTTACATTTTTTATGCCTTTAATCGACGTTTTTCAGAAACATCCTCACAGAAATGAGTTATTTAATGGTCATGAAAGGTGTTGAGCCAAAAAAACAAAATTTTTATAAAAATTCACAAACCTGCGGGAAAAAGCCAGTTTCTTCACTTTGATTATTTTGACGAGAGCCTGATTCCACCACGCTGCCTCACATATGTCACAAACTTTGATAGAAGGAAAATCAGATATCTGATGATCTTAGTCTCATTTATGTGAATTAAACATTTTATATTGCGGTAACATAATATTTTGCTCGAAATAAAAAGCAAACAGATTTTCTTTTGCATGTAATGAATACATACCTCATATTCTGACATACGATGATTATGGCTACGAATTTTAGTGGTCTCCATAATTTGAACTAATGTACTTCCTGTTTTTGAATACTTGCTCGAGTTTGATAATGTGAGCTTAATTAGGTGGATGAAAAATAATGTAATGGTTAGTTTCAAATGACTACCCTACATTTTCAAAGGTTTAGACAATATTTTTCACATTTCGTTGCTTTACTTCCCCGATATAAGATATCAGCATAAAAACGTCTGCACTCTAAACTTTCTTTTACTGGAAAATCGGTGTAATATGACAGATCTTTCCCAAGCGTTTTCTTAATCTTCGTCTATACTCTTATTTGGTTAAATGGGGATTTCTTTACATCATTCTTGTTTTTCTTAATGTAGATGGGTTTTTTTCTATAGACTATTACGCTCCCAAAGACACAGTCTAGATCATATTGGAGGCGGCTTCCTTACGTTACCTTCTTGGGCCAACCTGGTCGTAGAGAGATAAAACATCCCAGGAGAAAGACCGAGATACAAGACACAAATGTGAGGCAGAGTGGTGAAACAGACCGCTCGTCAAAATATCAAAATCGAAGAAATCGGCATTTTCCCGCTCTTTTCGCGATTTTTATTGAGTTTTTGGTTTTAGACTCAACACCTGTTTTGTGAGGATTTTACTAAGAAATTTTGATAAAGGCACACAAATTGTAACTTTTCAATCTCCAAGGACTTCCAAGCTAAGGAAGTCACTAAACTTCAGCGGCCATTTCCCGCCAAATTTACATCTGAAACCAGAGAACCTCCATCTCTTTCAATTGCTGATATCTTCTCGACTTCTACTTGAGATAGACTGGTACTTTTTTATCGGAAGCAAGACAAATGAAAAAGCTTTCAGATGATAATACCAATTAATCTACACGCCCTTAAACTTACGAGCGCCTGATTCCACCGTGTCGTGACACAAACTTTCTCCCCATTCGAGAATCAGTTTCGGGTGTCCTGTATCTAGATTCTTCGTCTGTATTCCTATGTCGGTTATAATTCATTGGGTTTTCTCTTTACTCAACACCGACGTCTGTGCTGTACAGAAAGAGTCAGGAGCCCCCGAGGGGGTGGGGGCAAAGGAGGTGAGGGGGTGGGGGCAGAAGATGGAGACGGAAGCAGACCGCAGAGCATTGTTAGAGAGCAGGAAAGAATTGGAAAAGAGAACATTTTAGAGAAGAAAGTTTTCCGACGCTGTCAGGATTCGAACCCGGGACCTATTGAATGAAAAATGGATACCTTATATATATCCTCTAGGCCACGAGAGCCCACCTTAAAGACAATGATTTACAGAATGGGTGTATCGTGAATAAAACATAAAGCTGACGGTTTAATTGAAGACAATGGTGTAAAACATGTCTGAATAGACCACTATCGTCTTCACAAGATGCAAACTCCAATCTTGTCTCAGCAGTGGAAAATGGTTTGCAATGCAATTATTTTCAAAGATAGTACATAACAAGATGGTCCACTCAGCCAAAAAAGTATCCGCCGGAAGTCCGCTTTTTACTTCAGATGGCGCTGCAGTCTGTTTTGAAGCTCTCTTTCGTTTCTCCAGAAGAAGAATAGGAATAGCACCCCCTTGCGTGCGCAGATCGACTGCTGTTCATTAGCTGTTCGGGTTCGTTCAGAGCGGAGTTTTAGGTTTTGCTTATTTTAACGACCTCTCGCATTTCCGTCTAAAGTCAAATTAAACAAAGAAAAAGAGTAGCCTCTTTCTCCGGAAAAGGTTGTTTTTTTGTCAGCGTAACCATTTGAAAAGAACGTTCTTCCGAAATATGAATTGTTATTTATTCAAAAACTTGTTAGTTTCACTTTGATTTTTTTAAAACACAAGTAGGGTAACTCTGTTCGCAAAGGGTGCGCATTAATAGCGAAGAGGGCGCCACCGAATTTTGAGGACACTTTTTTAATTGGCTCAAAGAGAGGAGTGGCCCCTCTTGTTATGTAGACTCCTAGTTATTAGGGTGGAGAACTCACATGAGGTCAGGGCGTAAGCGTTGAATGTTGGCGCAGACACACACACACACACACACACACACACACACACACACACACACACACACACACACACACACACACACACACACACACACACACACACACACACGCGCGCGAGCTCAAGCCTCTCATTAGACAAACGATATTTCGCCTCCTTAAAATTACAAAGCTCTATCTGACATTTTTGGCCGTTTTGAGTTATTAAAACCATGAGGTCAGAAACCAAATAAATATATGTTCTGTCATCATCATCATCATCATTGCTTTTCTCACCCTGCACCAGGGTAAAGGCCACGGACAAACACTTTCTCACCCTGCACCAGGGTATAGGCCACGGACAAACACTTTCTCACCCTGCACCAGGGTATAGGCCACGGACAAACACTTTCTCACACTGCACCAGGGTATAGGCCACGGACAAACACCCTCCACTTTTCTCTATCCTGGGTTAGCCTCTTGATGTTATTCCATGTCTTCCCACTTTTCTGTACATCGATTAATAAATGTTCTGTCAGCTCTATCAAAATCGTAGGGTCATTAGAAGTCGCTACCAAGATATTCAAAGAATTGAAGTATTTAAAAAAATATTAAAAAGAGCTTGACTAGTTCTGAAACTCAAAATATTGAACGTCGAATTTCTCGAAACTAGGTACTGAGCACTGAGCAGGAAGAACTGGGGGTGGGGGGGATTTAAAAAATTGTATATACGCTTCTTTATCATATCTTACTGTCCTGGGTCTATAATCACCCAGAAGTTCTGGAAATAAACGTCGTTCGATGATGTAGCGGAAATACTGCTTGGGGCCTCGTTTTGGAACCAACCACGTTTTTGGTCCACATTCTCGTTATCAACAGAGGTCGAGTTTCTGGTGAAGCTACCTAGAGTACTCTAGTTCGCAATGGCTCTAGACGAATGCTTGGCTAAGATTTGAAAAACACACTGCAAGAGACCCAGACACGTGATTAAAAAAACATGGCGTGCAGATAGATCCGTCAGGTCAATATATTTTCCCAAATTATCTCTCGTCTTCATCATCTCCTTCTGGTGCCCCTAAACACACGCGCACACACGCGCGCGCGCGCACACACGCACACACACACTCACACTATTACACTCACACACACACACGCGCGCGCACACATGCAAACACGCGCGAGCACACACACACACACATACTCTCTCTCTTTCTCTCTTTTTCAGGCTCTCGTCAATTTTTGGGCATGTAGAGTTATTGGTATCATCTTAAAGCTTGGTCACTTGTCTTTATTTGGATGAAAAAAGTATAAATTTATCTTGAAGACAAGTCGAGATATTAACGAAAGAAAGAGGTGGTGGTCACTTCTTTTCAGAGGTAAAATTTGTGAGAAAATGGCCGCCAAAGGTTAGTTATTTTCTTAGCTTATGAGTCCGTGGTAACTGAAAATTTACATTTTCTGTGCCTTTAATCAACGTTTTTCAGAAAAATCCACACAAAAATGAGTTCTTTAACAGGCATGAAACGTGTTGAGCCAAAAAACAAAAATTTAATAAAAATTCATAAAATGCAAGTTTCTTCATTTTGAATATTTTGACGAGAGCCTGATTCCACCACGCTGCCTCACAATTATAAATGTGCGTAAACTTACCCATACCGGGGGCTTTGTGACCCAAATCGACAAGATAGAAGTTGAAGTTGCGAATGAAAGAGGTGGGGATCACCAGGTTTTAGAGGTAAATTTAATGAGAAAATGCCTGCCAAAGATGAGTTATTTCTTTAGCTTGAGAGTCCGTGGAAACTGAAAAGGTACATTATATGTTTGTTTGTGGCTTTAATCATGGTTTTCAGTAAAAATCCAAACATAAATGTGATTTTTAACGGGCATGAAAAGTGTTGAGCCAAAACAAAAACAAAAAAAAAACCCACGAAAATTTGATATAAATTCACAAACCAGCGGAAAAATGCCAGTTTTCTCACTTTGATTATTTTGACAAGCGCCTGATTTCACCACGCTGCCTCACATAAATTATTCTGTTGAGGGGGGACAGCCGCTGTACAAAGACTGTTCATTAACTCTCACAAGTCTTGAGTCTAGGCCCTGCTTCATCAAAACTGGTTTAGGTAAGTGTTTTACGGCGCCTGCAACTGCATTAGGTCATGATAATATTATGAGCGCGCAGGACACATTAAACATTTTCAGCTGGTAGGAAATTATGAATTTTGTCCGAGTGGCGACCGAAGCCTACTCTTACCTACTTTAGACCACCACGGGATCTTTAACGAGCGCAACTTGCATACGACACTTCCGAGATTGTTCGCCCTTGTCCTAAAAGGATAGGTGCAGATGTACCAACCTCAAGATCAGAGGTGTGGCTTTAAGACAGTAGTAAGAAGGATCCAAGCATAGCTCTAGAAAGGCTGCAGAAAGAGTCAGCCAAGAGGAGGGGGCAGAAAGTGGAGACAAAAGCAGACGACAGAACACTGCAAAAGAGTAGGAAAGGAGGTGAAAGGAGACAATTTTAGGGAAGAAAAATGTTTCGTCGCTACCCGGATTCGAACCCAGGCCATTTGTATGACAGACAAACACCTAAACCTCAAGGTCACGAGAGCCCCTCTATACCGGTTTAAATTGAGATATGCATACACCAACATTTATAGCACGAAAACGTTTTAAGAGTATCAAGCTACAAGCATAAATTACCCACCACAATTAGAGGAAAGAAGATATTTGATGTGAAGACACGGATGTTCTGCAGGCAGGCAAGTATATATCATTTATAATGTGCGAGGAAAACTAGAAAAAGAAATAAAACAGCATCTTGTTGAGACGTCTCAACCCTTATTTATGAGCTAGCAGGCTGTTTTTCTTTCTTTTTCTCAGAAAGTATCTCGACCTATATTTGCTAACAAGATGTTTCTCTTTCTTATTTCGTTCTCAGAAAGTAACTGGCAAAAGCGACGTATCGGACATCGGGCCCATCTTCATGCTAAAAATAGTCCTGTCTGTATTCAGCACAGCGTACAACTTCCTCTTGTACGTCGTCTACAACCGGAACTTCCGAGCCGGGTTCAAGGCCTTGTTCACCTGTCGACGTCATCAGACCAGGAAGAACGTGGTGACGCCGGCTGATGAGGGCCAGTCTCCGTTCCCACAGGGCGGGAACTGTGGCGGTCCCATGGCGCACAATGTCACTGCGTCACTGTCCTTACAGGCGAGAGAGCCTACTGTTTCTTAGTTTATGAAGAGAGAGGGAGGGTGGGGGGAGGGAGAGAGTGGGGATGGGAGAGAGAGAGAGAGAGAGAGAGAGAGAGAGAAAGAGGGGAAGGGAGAGGGAGAGAGGGAGAGAGAGAGAGAGAGAGGGGGGGAGAGAGAGACAGAAAGAGAGAGAGAAGGAGAGAGAGAGAGAGAGGGAGAAAGAGAGAGAGAGAGAGAGAGAGAGAGAGAGAGAGAGAGAGAGAGAGGGGGGGTGGGGGTGAAATACAGAAATACAAAGATAGAAAGGGTGACGGAAGAACTCAACTTCTTCTTCTTCTTCTTCTTCTTCTTCTTCTTCTTCTTCTTCTTCTTCTTCTTCTTCTTCTTCTTCTTCTTCTTCTTCTTCTTCTTCTTCTTCTTCTTCTTCTTCTTCTTCTTCTTCTTTGCTATGGTTCGATACAGTCTTTGGCGGCTCGAGTTTTCAGTTTTGGATAATATGCACTTACTACCACTGTTACTTTACTTTTTCTATCCTCTTATACTGCGAGGTATCGAAAGGAATTTGTAAATGTCGGACGTAGGCCAGGTTTGTTGCTTTTGTATTGTTCTGCTGTGCTTTTGAAGGGTCGATTGGATTTCCTAGGACCATCATTTTCTAGGGAGTAGCTTAACACAATTTGATCAAACTTCCAAATTTTGAATTTTAAAAAATTAGGTCATGATCGAGTCCATTTGTCGAAAGCCAGGACCAAATACCAATCAGAAGCCGTCTCATCGTCACATGACATTGCAGGGTCAGATCTTTTGCACGTACAAGGAATGTGAAAGGCCTAATATAGATTTTGATCTTTCCAGTCAGAAATTATGAAGAAAAGCATTAAAACAGTTGTCTTCTTTTACTTGAGAGAGATACCAGTAGCTCAGACGAACGTTTTGATACTCTGAAGAAAGTGATCAAGCATTTCATTACAATATGGGGACTGTCTTAATTCACATGGCACAACAGAATGTAACACAAGAGGACTCGAGGAGAAATCGTGTTTTTCTACAGAGGGTCAAAAAGATCTCATTTCAACATTAACGACACACACACACAAGAAAGGAAACTTTAATCAGTCCACTTGCATCGTGTTCGTGAAAAATAAACCTGTTTCTTTAAGGTGTCGACACGATTTCTGTCAGCTTGACATACATGTAACATAATCTCGCCTTGGAAAAGATAAAAATTATTGCGATTGATCTTTAAGAAAATTTCCTTCACTAAATTCAATTCTCTTAGACGTGAGACGATAATATGTGTGGCGACGTTGTTGAATGAGACGCTCGTCAGTTTGTGGGCATGTAGAGTTATTGGTACCATCTTAAAGCTTGTTTTTTATGGTGGGATTTTTTTTGTTTGCTTGCGATGAAAAAAAATGCCCTTCTATTTTGAATGGAAGTCGAGATGTCTGCGACTGCGGGAGGCGCGAGTCGCCTGGTGTCAGTGGTAAGGTTAGGGAAAAAACCCAAAACGGCCACAACAGTTCGGAAGTCTTGGAAACTGAACATTTGTGTCACGACGTGGTGGATTCAGGCGCTCGTCAATTTTTGGGCGCGTGGAGGTATTCGTTTCAGCGAAAAGCCTATTCATCTGCCTTACTTCTCTTGGAAAAATAATAGCCATCTATTTTGAACAAAAGTTGAGATAAATTCAAGTGAAGGAGATAAGGTCGCTTGGTTTCAGTGATAAAATTAACGAGAAAATGGCCGCCAAAGTTAGTCAACTTCAATAGCTTCAGAGTTTTTGAAAACTGAAAAAACCACTATTTTGTCTCTTTAATCAACGTTTCAAAGTCAAATTCACTTGGAAATGAGTTTTTATAATATTATGGACATAAAAGTTGTGGAGCGAAAAAACAAAAATTCGATAAAAATTGATAAACTGGCGGGAAAATGCCAGTTTCTTCACTTTGATTATTTTGCCCGGTGCTTGATATCACGACGCTGTCTCACATTTACATTTTTTTGTCGCCTATAACCAACATTTTTCAGTAAAATCCGCACAGACATTATTGTGTAGAGCAAACCACCCCCCAAAAAGATCGATACAAATTTCCCAACGTGGAAGAAATGCGGGTTTCTTTGATTCCATATGGGAGGCAGCGTGGTGGAATCAGGCTCTCGTCAATATTTTGGCATGTAGAGTTATTGGTATCATCTTAAAGCTTGTTCAGTTGTCTTTATTTGGATGAAAAAAAATCCATTTATCTTGAATAGAAGTCGAGATATTTGCGAATGAAGAAGGTGAGGGTCACCTGTTGTCAGAGGTAAGATTAGTGAGAAAATGGCAGCCAAAGATTAGTTATTTCCTTAGATTTAGAGTCCGAGGCAACTGAAAATTTACATTTTTTGTGCCTTTAATCTACGTTTTTCAGAAAAATCTACACAGAAATGAGTTTTTTAATGGGCATGAAAGGTGTTGAGCCAAAAAACAAAAATTTGATAAAAATTCACAAACCTGTGGAAAAATGCAAGTTTCTTCACTTTGATTATTTAGACGACAGTCTGATTTCACCACGCTGCCTCACATTTATTGACGAGCGACTGATTTCACCACAACGTCTCACATATTCGAAACCTTGGACGTGAGACGACCAAATTCTACATTACTAACTCGCCAACAAATCCAAATGTTATGGGAAAGAAAAACTGGATGTACCTTATCTTGGGGGTTCAAGGAGAAAAAGAAATCTATGTGTAAAATAATATGCTAAAGAACGAAATGGGAGGCATCGTGGTGAAGTCAGGCGCTCGTCAAAATAATGGAATCGAAGATTTCGGCTTTTTTCCTCCGGTTTGACACTTTTTTCCAAATTTTGTTTTTTGGGGTCAACAATTTTTATATTCATTTGAAAAAATATGTCTATGTCAGTTTACAGAAAAACATTAATTAAACGCACAACAAATGTACATTAATTTTCAGTTTCCAAGGACTCTCTAGCTTGTTCTTGTTCTTGTTTCAGGAAGCAACATCCCTGCACTCGGGACATGTCCATTGAAAAGCTCTAGCTTGGGAAACACCAAACTATGACAGCTATTTTCTCGCTAATTTTACCTCTTAAACTAAGTGGCCCAGACTTCCTTCTTTCCCAAATATCTCAACTTTCAGTAAAGATACTCGACGTGTAATTTTTTTAATCGAAAGATGGTCAAATGAATAAGTTTTATGATAATAACAATAATCCCAGATGCCTAAAAACTGATGAGTGCCTGATTGTACCGTGTCTTGATACAAATGAAAAAATCTATTTCTACATCTCCGAGAGTTAAGTACAGCCATTAGTCTGTTCTTTCAAATGTGAAAATACTATGGCGAAAAAAACCACTGGGCAATGTTCTAGAATACAGTGGACCGGTGCTAGGAAAAGTATTCTTCTGTTAAGACAAACTGATATAGATATAAGATATTGTGCAAATGTTGGAGAATCTATGTTCAATAGTTAAGAAGGCATTTGACTATAAGTTACGCCACGAATTCTGGAACACCCAAAAGTAGATTTTCAACTGATGCCTATTTCTTAAGTTTACCATGTTTTATACCGTTTCATACTAATCAATTGTATAAACTCAACCAATAAATCTGATCAGCTCGCCTCACAAATCGACGGCTAAACGTATTAAGTGACTATGTTCACTTTTAAGTTTTGACAAAAACGAGTTTGATATTACGACGATTTTGAAGTCTCTATAACATAGTTAAAAAACCAAAAAGAAACATTAATATCTCGATAGTGAATGAAGCTACGGTTCAGATGTTTACAGAGATAAAAGAGAGGTATACAATGTCACTACACATATCAATTACTCAAATTTCGCCCAAAAGTGAGTGGATACAGCCAAGTCCTGTTTTTTTAAAATAGTCGTAGTGGAGGTTTTACTGCGCTGGCAACTGCATAAAGTCATATGAACGCCAGAAGATTAGAGCTGTTACAAGTGAGTAACAAACATTAAAAAGAAGAAGGGGAGATAAAGACGATAGATGTTTGATAGGAAAGAAGAAGCAAACCATATAAGAGCACCTGCCAACCACCCACTACCACATCCTGTGCTTAGCCATCAAAATGGTTTTATACATGTAGTATTTTTCAGACTACTCTTGGAGTACTTGACAATCTTCTTTTGGAGATGAACGTTAAATTTGGCAGACTAAATGGGAGGCAGCGTGGAGGAATCAGGCTCTCGTCAAAATAATCAAAGTGAAGCATTTTTCTGCTGGTTTGTGAATTTTTATCAATTTTTTTTTTTTCGCTCAACACCTTTCATTCCCATTAAAGAACTCATTTCTGTGTTGATTTTTCTGATAAACATTAATTAAAGAACAAAATCTGTAAATTTTCAGGTACCACGGACTCTTAAGCTAAGGAAATAACTAATCTTTGGCGGCCATTTTCTCACTAATTTTTCCTCTGAAAACAGGTGACCCCCTTCTCCTTCATTTGCAAATATCTTGACTTATGTTCAAGGTAAATGGATATTTTTTTTCCATCCAAATAAAGACAAGTGAACAAGCTTTAAGATGATACCAATAACTCTACATGCCCAAAAAAATGACGAGAGCCTGATTCCACCACGCTGCCTCACAAATTAATAATACCCGAGGGTTGTTGGCAGGTGCTCTGGTGCGGTTTGCTCCTTCTTTCTTAACAAACTTCTGTCCTCGCGATCTCTCCTCCTTCTTTTTAAAAATGTTTGTTACTCTCTCGTAACACCTCGAGCCTTCTGCACTTAAAAGACCTTATTGTGTTGCAAGTGCCATACAACTCTTGCTATAACTAAACAAGATAATAAAATCCCGTCTCATAAATAATTCTACCGTACTGAAAAATTAATTAAATTCGTACACCTGCTCTCATATTATCATCCTCTTGATATGATAGCAGCAAAATTGTTTCTTGTTCTTAATTTCATCAAAGAGCAACGTTAAATCAACCGTCGTAGACGAAGTGAGAGTCTCTCAAAATATCGATGCTGTGCGTCAGCTCAGACCTGCTGGATTGATAA